GGTTTAGAGTTTAAGGGTTTAGGGGTTTAGGGTTTAATTACGGGTTATATAGGGTTTAAACCCTAAACCTAGACCCTAAACCCTAAACCCTAAACCCTGAACCCTGAACCCTAAACCCTAAACCCAACCCTAAACCGTTTAGACCTTTGATTTCAACAGTCCGCACCTCACTGCCGCCACCGCTTTCCGTCGCTCGTGGAGCAGTCCTGGCTGGGCGAACCGGCGCATAGGGTTTAGGGTTTAGGGTTTAGGGCTTAGGGTTTAGGGTTTAGGGTTTAGGGCCCGAAATGATTAGAAGAGGTTCTGGAGATTAGAAGAGGATTCTGGAGTATATGAATTTATAATCACAAAAAGGAGCCTGAGGAATGATGTTGGAACTTATTTAGGCCCCAAAAGTGCCCTAGATCCGGGCGGATCACATCAAGCTCGCCCATGCTAGCCTCTGAGTCCGCAACGAACGATGTACAAGAAACGTTGTCCCGAAAAGCTGTCATCATCAAGTGGGTCAGCAACGAAACTCTCAACGAATACCGAAAGCACGTACTGCTTGGGGCTGGGGATCTCTGAAACTTAGGGGTACCTCTTAAACATGAGTCAGCCTTTCGTGCTCCATCTCCGTCACACCCGGACAGTTGCGGGCCAGATCGCTGACGGACTCGAAAACGCAGCCGCAGTAGAGGCAGTAACCTGGGCAGATGCGAAACAAATCCTGCAACAGCTCAAACCCTAAACCCTACACCTCTATACCATACTAGACTATACTCTACCAGACCATAGTAGACAATACTGCATCATACTTTACTATACTATACTATACTATACTATACTATACTATACTATACTATACTATACTATACTATACTATACTATACTATACTATACTATACTATACTATACTATACTATACTACACTACTACACTACACTACCCTAAACCTTAAACCTTTAAATCCCAATACCCGGAATGTTTAAAGCCATTTACAGAATCCCAGAATCTACGAGCAGAAGGATACTACATTCTCGCGACACGCTATAGACTATTACATACGATACACTATTCTAAACCAGATACTATACTTCATATACTATATGTACTCTACGATATTCTCGCACTGTATGTACTCTACGATACTCTTGCCCTAAACCCTAAACCCTGAACTCTAAACCCTAAACTCTAAACCCTAAACTCTAAACCCTAAACCCTAAACCCTAAGTGCTGGACTCTTGCAGACCTAGCCGCAGTGGCTCCGCCGGAGGTATCCCAGGAGCTCCGTGAGCCGCAAGCGCGCGGCGCCTGCAGCGCGGCTCCGGTTGCTTCGGCGGTTTGGGGCTGAAGGACTTAGGGTTGAAGGGTTTAGGGTTTAGGGTTGAAGGGTTTAGGGTTTCGGGTTTAGGATTTAGGGGTGTAGGGTTGAAGGGTTTAGGGTTGAAGGGCTTGGGGTTTAGGGTTGAAGGGTTTAGGGTTTAGGGGTTTAGGGTTTAGGGTTTAACGGTGTAGAGTTGAAGGGTTTAGGGTTTAGGGTTGAAAGGTTTAGGGTTTAGGGTTGAAGGATTTGGGGCTGAAGGGTTTACGGGTTTAGTGTTTCGGGTTTGTGGTTTAGGGGTTAAGGGGGCTTAGGGGCTCAGGGCGTAGGGTTGAAGGGCTTTGGGCTGACGGTTTGCGGATCGGGGGGGTTGGGGGCTTAGGGCTTAGGGCTGGGCGTTCAGGGTTTAGGGTTTAGGGTTTAGGTTTTAGGGAGATTCGGGATGAGGTTGAAGTTCCCAGTTTCGGCAGCCAGGCGCCGAACTCTAAACCCTGTGGGTGCCAAGATGGAGGTCTTCAGCTCCAGAAGATTGGTCTCATGCCACCACTCGTCTCACGGTGCATGGGCAGGTCTCCGATGGCATCCAAAAATCCAAGCCCTCGAAACAAAACCGGCCGAAACGAAGCGAGCCTAGGGCGCTGGGATCAACAAAAGCTAGTGTTATAGTATTAGTATTTGAGTCTTCTAATTAGTAGTATAGTATTACAGTATGACAACATTGAAACGCAATCTCGGCTTCAAGCGGCAGGGATTTCGAGCCCCTGCCTCAGTCCCTCCCTGACACCCACAACCCGGTCAAGACCCCCAAACCCCAAGCCTCAAACCTTGAATCAATCCTAAACACGAAATCCGAAACCCCAAACCCCACCGACAAGCACGCCCCTTCCCTTGTCCCCGCACACCCGAACCAAAAAGCACCATCAACCCTAAGCCCTACATGAATAGTTTTCTAAATTCGGGCCCCTTTTAGGTCCCCAATATAGTACGGCACCCTACTAAAAGGGCCACTGAAAGGGATCCTACTTTGGAGAACTACCAAACCCTAAACCCTAAACGCGCCTGGCTCTGAAAGCTCCGGCCGCTCACCGGAGCGCCGGGGCCAAAGGGCGTTCGGGCCCCGCTTCTTGCTGCGGTCCAAGTGCTCCACGGAGCGCTCCTGGGTTGTTGATTTAAGGCCCTAGGGGCTTTGGGGATGTAAGCCTTTTTTGGCGGAGGGGGGGGGGGGGT